GACGCGATCTTAAGTATGACTATAAGTATACAAGAAAAATATTCAGAAAAATGGTAGGTTCAAAAAATGATAGTATAATTTAGAGCTATAATTTATACAATAAATACAAGGAGACAACGGCAACCAAAGGCGTAGTTCCGAAATATATCGAATCTGAACGTTATAACCTTGCTTAAGCTTGCGCTTCTTCATGGAGGGGCTGCTCCCTTTTTTTTGCGGGAGCTTTTGAGGGGGGCGAGGAACGTTAGTTGCGAGTCCATTATTTTGAAGTAATATGCGGGTACAGGCTTAGATGGTGGTGATATAGAAAATGGGCGCGATATAGCCAACCAAGCCATGAGTGGAAGGTACCTCCGGTGTTACCAGCCATACTAGAAACGGCTCTAATTAGCGTTTTTGGCACGCAGTTAATTTATCTGCGATAATTGAGGGAAGTTGTTTCGAGGATACCGTAGTAATCATCAGGAAGTTAGTTGACAGCAAAGTGTAGAAGATTGGCTGGAAGGAATGGAACTTTTATTAGGGGGGACTTGGTGAGTACGTGCTCTCGGCGGTGACGGTGACGAGTCCTTATATTTTGCTTAGCTCTGCTGCTGGAGCCAGCTATTGTGCGAAGGACGTATTGTTTGCTGAGAGATTGGACTCTGTCCTTTATTGATATTATGTTTGCTATTTGGTAAATTAGTACTGATGGATAATTTGCACCTTTCGTCATGCATTTTCTAAGAATTTTCCTCTTAGTTGCTATAATGGCGTTGGTTTGACAAGGATTAAGTGACGCATAGACACACGTCTTGTATTCGATTATAGGCCTGATGAAAGTCTTGTAGGTGTGCAATGGAGTTTTATTGAAGGTTTTTCCGAATTTTCCAGATAGAGCTCCCAGGAGTCTTGCTCTTTTTTAACCCTCTCTAGGGTGCCTTTTATGTCAATATCCCAGTTGAGAGTCCTAACAAAGTGAACTTCTAAGGAAGACACTGAGTTTCTGTAATCAAGAGCTTCTAATTCGAGAACTATCTGGTTTTATCCGGATTGAGTGACCCTCTCTAGTTATTGCACAACCTGAGAATTCTGTTCACTTGGTACTGTGCTCTATCGAATATAGACGGTTACCTCAGCGTCCCCCTATGCGTTTCTACCGTGAGAAGTGCAGTCTCGTTAGCAAATAATAGTATTGACTCTGATCTAGTCAGCAGGTGCAAGATGTCACTGTTGTAGACTGTGTATAATATTGGTGGTAGATTTGAGCCCTAAATGACTCCATCTTCTGAAGTGAATGCTGTTGATAGCGTGTTAGCCACTTTGACACGGATTAGTCTAGTACGGTGGAGCTTTTTGTTTCATTAAGGGCTTGTGATATGATGGTTGCTGCTTCAATCAATGCATTTTGTGCGAAGTGTTCAGCTCTGAATTCAAATTGAAAGTTGGGGATGAGAAGATATGGGTCCAGGAATTTTACCAGTTTCTCAGTGATAACTGAAGGTTTCCCTGGTTTGGGAGTCAGGAGGACAGAGCATCTCCAGGAAACTAAAGACATGCATTAATTATGTTTGTAAACAGCAGGGTAACACTCTTTGGGAGTTTTAAAGGCATCTTCTATAAATGCCATCTAAGCCAGGAGATGTGTTTTTACCTGAGTTACACATCTGTCTGACGGTATCCCCTAGCGCAGGTGCCACCATTACATGAGGATGGGGCTCCATATGCAGCGTTGGAGGGTAATCAGATTAGATTAAGAGAGGTGGCCTTTCGGCCTATTCCACTGCGACCTTTTCAGATCTATTATTGTCCTCTAGTTCTAGATAACATTCTGTAGCCTGACCCTCTTTATAAAGTCTAGTAGCTTCGAGACTGTACCTTCCATGTAGCTATTTACCGGTGGATTTTCTTTTCCTAATGCAAAAAACCGCACATTTGCCAGACTGTCACACTGACATAAAATGTGCTCTGCTGTGTCTTCTTCGAGGTGATAGAATCTGCACAGGTCATCATCTGATAATCCCATTAGCTTCAAGTGCCTATTCAGCTTACAATGCCCTGTTATAAGACCTACTATAGCTTTGACTGTTTTCCTGTTTTTGCTAATTAGGTCTGCCGTAAATTTTGGCGAATGATCTCTAATGAATTGTTTCGCCTGTCTTTGTCCTGGTGAATTCCTCCACCATTATATACACATATAATTCATAATTATATGTGTATATTGTAATTTTTGTAAGGAAAAAGGGTTCATCCCGTTAAATAAACAAACAAACAAACAAACAAACAAACATTCCAGAGATTTGTGAGCTACCCACTTTTTTGTAGCCGTTCTTGTTACTGACTTTGCAACGCCGCAGAAGGGTTCCGGTCCAATGAATGGCATTGATGAGCTTTGTTTGACCATTTCATCTGCTTTTTCATTGCCCTTATGACCCTCGTGCCCCGGTACCTAAGCTACCGTAACCTTGCTACGGTCTCCTAGTTTATTTAGGGCACACACGCAATCCCATACTAACTTAGAATTGACCTCTACAGAATTGAGTGCCTTAAGCGCTGCCTGACTATCTGTGAAGATGGCAACTGAACAGAACGTTCTTTCCTGCCTTTCTATTTCTTCCACGCAGTGATGGATTGCAGTTATTTCTGCCTGGAAAACTGTCACAACCTTAGATAGGCTTACCGGGAAATGCACCCCTTGATTTGTCCCTACTATGTTGGCTCCAACACAATCCGATGTTTTTCAGCCATCCGTGTACCAGGTAGCAGCAGCTTTTATGGGTACACCTTTATTCCAGTCTTCCCTGCCTGGTATCTTAATTATGAATTTATTGTTAAAGCTATATCTAGTAGCTGTTGCATCGATAGGTTTCCCCATCACAATATCGGCTTTTAGCTCCTCGATTAACTTTCTGTTGTCAGTACCATGCATTTGGCTTATATGTCGCTGACTATGATTAATCTGTGCCTCACTGATCTGGCTTCGCCCTGTATAAAGATATGAAGTGGTGGTAAATTCAACAGGACTTCCAACGATGTAGTAGGAGTTGTTTTTATGCCCCCCGTAATACACAGACATGCTAGCCTTTGTGTATTACCTAGCAGCCTTATTGCTCCCACTTGCTGCGTCTTTGTCCACCACGTCACCGAGCAATAGGTTATCATGGGTCTAATAACCCTTGTGTAACCATAGAGTCATTTTGGGGTTAAGTCCCCAATTCTTACCGCACATTCTTCTACATCTGTCCAGGGATATAGTAGCTTTCTGCGTGGTTTTTAGAATGTAAGTATTCCATATAAGCCTATGATGAAAATATACCCAAGGTATTTTGTTTCTTTGGCAAATGAAATCTCTGTTCTTCCCAGCACCGGTGGTTTTAGGCCTTGTAGTGCCGTTTTCTTGGTGAAGTTGACGATTTATGTTTTCTGAGCATTGACTATCAGTCTCTCTTCCTTACAACAGTCGTCACCTATATTTAGGGCTGCTTGGATTCTCCCAGACACCAGCTGAGTAAACCTGCCCCTGACGACAATTGCTATATCGTCAGCATATCCTAGACAATAAAAGCCTTCTGTAGACAAATTTCTGAGATCATCCACCAAGGTTGCCCAAAGTAGAGGGGACAGAACTCCTCCTTGTGGACAGCCTCCACCTACTTTTGCTTTGATGGTTGTTTTACCCAGAGTAAACATTATTATCCTATTCTCTAGAAATGCCCTTATCCATCTGCATATTAGCGCAGGTGTGCCTCGTCTACTCATAGCTTCTATCAAAGAGCCGGTGGTAACATTATTAAATGCCACTTCTATATCTAAGAAGGCGGCCATTGCTATGTCTTTGTCTTCCATTGACTTTGAGATAAGCCTATTTAGATCATCCAACGCAGAGTCCGTAGATTTACCAGGTTGGTATGCATATTGACGATAGAGGACTATCTTTTAGCACTTCATTTCTGATGTACCTATCAAGAAGCCTTTCCAGCATTTTTAATAGAAAAGAAGATAGGCTTATCGGTCTATATGCCTTTGGTGTTAGGTCTGATACTTTACCTACCTTAGGCAAGTATATGACTTTAACCTTTTGGCATATTTCCTAACCCTAAGTAGTGAGATAGGTCTGTATTATTCAGTGATAACTGAAGGTTTCCCTGGTTTGTGGGTCAGGAGGACAAAGCATGTCTCCAGGAAATTGGAGACATGCATTTAAGGCATCTTCTATAAATACCATCTAAGCCAAGAGATGTGTTTTTACCTGAGTTACACATCTGTCTAATGGTATCTTCTAGCGCAGGTGCCACCATCGCATGAGGATGGGGCTCGATGTGCAGAGTTGGGAGGTAGTTAAATAGGATTAGAGGTAAACAGTTAAAAGAATAACTGCCAATAAACGATTCGATTCGTAACGATTGTCAAAATTAAAAGTCATAAAAGTCATCCAATTAATAACAGTATTAAATAATCTGTTTAAATTTTTATGACACTTCTCGTGTTAAAATAATTTTATATAAATACAATTATTATTTTTAAACATGTTATTTAGTTTATACAATAATTAAATTTCTTATTAAATATTATTTATTTACATTTTATTATTAATTTAATATTTCTTCTTAATTTACAGTTATACCGAAAGTAAGTCTACTGTATCATTTTTTTTATAATTACCACCTGGAATTTTTTTAAGGTTGATTTAACATCAATGATTGATTTATCAAGTTATAATACACATATTAAACATATATGTATGGTAGTTCGAAAGTTGTGAACCAAAGAAATGAGCCAAATGGATAAAACTATTTATAACTCTTTTATTAAAGGGATTAAACCAATAAAGGATCCTTTTTTTGTAATAAACCTGAACAAGGTTTTCATTCCTGTTTTGAAATAAAAATTCTTATATCATTTGTCGATTTTAAATTACAAACGACAAAGAAAATTGCAATGATTCCTTTCGTACAGTAGAACATATTCTCATAGCGATATTAATAATATTAATCTAACTATTAGCATGGTCTGTAACTTACCCAGAAGAATCTGGCTGTATATGCAACACAATAAGGGAATTTCTACGGGAAATTTTATTTTACGCAACATCTTCATATTTTATAAAATCCTTTACACAACTAATTAAATATATTTTCAAGTGATTTATATACCAATAATTTTTTAGATAAAAAAATAATCATATATAGATAATCTTAATTATGGAAGGCATTGTGTCTCTTCAGCAGACAATGGATATTAGTCAAAATCGGACAATTCTTAATTATGTATCATCAGGATTTATTTATAGTGATAAGTGACAAAGGCAATGTCACAGTAGCTATGTAGAAACAGGACTATATCAGCAAAAATTAAATCATGCTTAAAGATACAAAATACTACAAAAAGCTAAGTAGAGCGCCACTTGTAGTCTTCAAGAAAAAGCAAATAAATTAGTAACAAATCTAAACAAAACATTAAAAATATCAAATTTGAAACAAAAAATCTAAGAATTTACAACTCTATAGCACCTAGATTCTACTCTCTAACAAAAATACATAAACCAACCCTAGTAATGAGACCAATTGTTGCATCCATTGATTCTTCAAAAAGTAAATTATCCAAGTTCTTAACAGAAATAATAACAAATGCATACAACACAAAGAATGATTACTATATTAAAGATTCGTTTAGTTTCAGCTTCTTTATCACAAATTTCAAACTTTCACTTCAAATTATTTGAGGAATCTCTGGTATTTATTTATCAGGGGAGCTTCTTCTTTTTCTTTCAAGAAATTATGAACTTAGCGACCTCCAGAAGTCCATATCTTTATCACCCATATCATGTTTGGCCCAATTCAGACGCTTTGCTTTCATTGCAGGTATTAACTTGGGCCTCCTAGCCGGGCGGCAGGCCATAAAACCCAAATCTTTTAATTTTATTCGCATAGTACGTTCAGATGCATTCTTATTGACATCTTGGAGTTGCGATTTTATCAATTTTGTGGTAGCAAATCTGTTTTTCAGGCAAATTTTCTTTAAAGATATTTATGACCTTGGAGTGAAAATAGGTTTTCTGCCTCAGTTTTTCTTTCGTTGTGGGCTTAATTCTTTCCCTAATTCAATCTTCTTCTTTATGCGATATATACTAGCTTCAGAAATCTTTAACTTCCGTGATATTTCGAGATTTGAAAATACTTTAGTATTTACTACGGCCTTTATCTCAGCTTTTTTACGTTGTGAAAGATCGCGTTTTTTATCCATGATTAAAGCGTACAAACATATTATTTAAACTCTGCACACGAAATAAACAAATAATTGCGTAATATAAAACTGTTTAATAAACAAACACAGTACATAAAGCCACAGAAACACGTTCGCAACTGTGCAGAAACTCCTGCGAACGCGATGGGAGTGGGTTTAAACTTGTTTACGTTCCGGCAAGAATAGATTAAGACAGTGTTGCTATTTATGACAAATACGAAATATACAATAAATTTCCTGAATAAATATCCATTTCATGTATGTTTGTATGTGAAAGAACTGCATATACAGTGGCGCACCCAGGGGGGTGTTTTGGGGATCAACCCCCTCCTCCGGACACTATTTCGACATTGTTATTTATCTACAAATTTTGAGGACTTAAAATGGTGAAGGTAGCATATAAAAATTTCGGTGCCCAACCAACCCTCCCCCCAGAGGACAATTCTAGGTGCGCTACTGTACATATAAACTCGAATAAAATATCAAATTATTAAAAAACAGGAGTGCGTCTAATAATTTGGCCAGGGACTGTATAATATAAATATATAATATAAATGTATAATATTGACTTATTGTGATCTGCCATACAGTAAGAAACAAAAATGCCTTCTACTTTTCTTAAAATTCACCACAAAACAAGTAAATTATTATAGTGATAAGAACTAAAACAATAAAATACTTAAAGAAAAATCCCACATTTTTAATTAGGAATGTCAAAAGTTGAAATTTTTGGAATTTTTAAATTTTGATTATTGTCCGCATCGATTTCATTCAAATCTGGATCTGTCGACACAGTTGAGTCGGATGAAGTTAAGCTTCTGTAAAACTGATGAAAAACAGGTGGAATAAATTCCAGTAGAGACAACAGATCAGCCTTCTTTTCTTTTGATAATGACAATAACGTGTTTCTTATTTTTTGGACGTTGCCACCATCAGCTAACCATTTTTCGGGTGTTTTCTGTCACAAAAACGACACCTCCTAGTATGGTTCATAATCATACAAGCTGGTTTTAAATTGAACGATACAAAACCGCTTGCTGTACTTTAAGGTACGCACAGGTTGCCACTTAAAATCGTTCCATGCAACCTCTTTTTTTCTTTTTACTAAAGAACCTTTCAATATATTTGAAAAGTCTAAAAATCGTCCTGGGTCATCTCGATAACCAAAAATCTAGGATCGCACGATCGGACAAACTGATACAAATCATGGGGATGGGCTATCAAAATATTGCTTTTTTGTTTTTTTCTTTCAATTAAAGCATGATCAGCATCCACTTCCATATGTGAGTGTCCAGTCAATATGAATTCATGTTCAAGTGTGCAAATTCTTGGAGAGTTTGCAAAGCTAACGTTAACATTGCCGTTACATACGAGTGTTTGTTTTGTCCTCCGCACGTATCTGAATATAGTGTTACCTTTGTAATTCCATCAGGAATATTTTGGATATGTTCAAAAATACATAAAGCTATTTCGTTGGCCCTACGAGCAGCAGTAGACTCATGCCACATGTAGCATTGTGATTGGTAAATTTTATTTTCGTGAATTGTTAAATTATGGCCATAGTGTTAAAGTCCAAAGCTGGCGTTTGTAAAAGAAAATGGCATTTGACAGGAACGGTGTAACTAAGCGCTGCTGTAGATCTAACGTTAAACATTGGACATTTTCAATTGCTACTTGTTTATCTCTTGCTTTTTGTTTATATGTTTCATTGGCTAAAAATAAATGGTAGTCTTGCTCATTAGTAAGTTCACACTTTGTCTTATCATCTGTAAAAAGATTTATTTTTAGCTTATACTTCGTCGCATTCATGATAAGTATCCAACTTTCTTGGTTTAATCGCTAATCTTAAGGCATGAAATTCTTGACTGTAATAGCGATATGGCACTCCACTTGGATATACTTCTCGATAAAGGTCGTACATCATCCTCATTGTAAAGTGCGACGGTAGATACTTTTTATATTATTTTATTGTGTCGTGTAATTGCTTTCATTGTTTCTTTAAATAATTTGGAGAAAGGAGTTGCACGTCCCCTCCCGTCCGTTAGTAAATGCTGCTTTATCTTTATCGTCTGGCTTAATGTACTTAATGGCCTCACAATCAAAATCAACCATTTTTTGGTGCCATGCTTCTTGTTTGTACTACTGGGATCAAATGTAGGGTCTTTATCAGGATCATCATCACTTTCAGAATATCAGCAGAATATCAAAAAGATATTCTGCAAGCAAGAACTGTAGAAGAAAGAGCAAACCGACAACAAGAATATGAAACAATAAATAAAGCAGTTAAAAGAAATGCAAGAAGAGACAAAAGAAGATGGACTGAAAAACTGGCAAAACAAGCCGAAATAGCTGCACAACACAATAGAACTAGAGAGCTATACCAAATTACTAGACGTCTAACAAAAAGTGGGCCCAACTGTTCAAACGTCGTAAGATCCAAGACAGGAGAACTACTTACTACAACAAATGACCAAATAGAAAGATGGAAAGAGCATTTTCAGGAGATGCTAGGCACGCCCAGGGATAACGCAGATGAAATTGTCGAAAATCCACAGAATATAGACTTGCGTATATCTTGCGATGCCCCTTCCAAAACAGAGATAATAACAGCTATCAAATCTCTGAAAAATAACAAGTCTCCGGGAATCGATAACATTGCTGCCGAAATGCTTAAAACTGATTCGCATCTAACTGCTGAACTTTTGCTCCCCATAATCCGAGAGGTGTGGGAAACAAACCGCATTCCAGCGGGCTGGAAAAAAGGCATCATTACTAAGCTTCCAAAAAAGGGCAACCTCATACTATGCAAAAATAACCTTGCTTACCGCCATAAATAAAATCTTCACGACCATCATACTTAAAAGATTAACAAACAAGGTTGAATTTCGAGCTAATCAAGTAGGCTTTAGACCAGAATCCTCCTGCATAGACCACATTAATACTGTGAGGCTAATAATGGAACAATCGGTTGAATGGAACACACCCCTATACATGGTTTTTGTTGATTTCGAGCGTGCTTTTGACAGCTTATCTCATGATGCAATATGGAAAATTTTAGAGCTAAGAAACATCCCGCATAAAATAATTTCCATTATAAAGTTACTGTACACTGAAGCGAAATGCAGCGTGACACACAATGGGATCAACAGTGACGAATTTGACGTACTTACTGGAGTCAGACAGGGATGCGTGCTTTCTCCGTTTCTTTTTAACATAGCTCTAGACTATGTTTTCTCCAAACTAGACTCTGACACAAGAGGGATACAATGGACGTTAACCACACGCCTAAGCGATCTAGAATACGCCGACGATATCTGCCTGTTAGGACAAAGGTTCCAAGATGTGGCTGACCAATTGGAAACACTTTCCACTGAAGCCAATAAAATAGGTTTGAAAATCAATATTGGTAAAACCAAATCCATGAGAATAAATGCAAGAAACAACACGCTATTCACCATTAATAACATGCAGATTGAAAATGTGGAAAACTTTACGTATCTTGGAAGTGTCATAACAGAAAGCGGAGGTACAGAAGACGATATTCGTATGAGGATACGAAAAGCGCAACAAGCTTTCAGCATGCTCAACCCTGTTTGGAGGTCTGGAGAATACACTACGAGGACAAAGATCCGCATATTCCAGTCAAATGTCATGTCTGTACTACTTTACGGATGTGAAACCTAGAAAGCGACAAAAACCCTTACAGACAAACTGCAGGTCTTTGTTAATAAATGTCTACGAAGAATTGTTCGTATTTTCTGGCCTAACATCATCAGAAACGAAGACTTACTACACCTGACCAAACAAAAGAGGGTAGTAAATGAAATAAAGTCCAGAAAGTGGGGTTGGATCGGTCACACACTCCAAA